ATATCATAACCTGATACTTCTTTGATAGTGAAGTTAGTATTTCAGATATTTATGGCGGAGAAGAACATAATATTTCTCTTTGGAATGCTGTTAAAAGTGAATAACAGGGTAGAAATGATTTTCCAGTTACCTCATTTAGCCTATCAAATGTCCTTCTAGCAAATTCTCTTGTTACTGCTTCTTGTTATTAAGCAGAAGGCAGAGACAGGCAGGAAAAAGATATGGTAGTTACAATGCTTTGTCTAGAGAATAGATTTTAATCCTGCAGCATTATATGTTTCGAAAAAATCTAAGTGTTCCCAACTTTTAATCATAAGGGTTATTTATCAAAAGATAATTGTGTGATAGAGACTTAAATTCTATCAATCATTTTCAGTCAATTTTCTTATATCTGCCTTTTTCGAATGTGGACGCTTTTTTTCTCATACTATCTGTATGGGCCGAAACTCGAGGAGTGAATTTCACATGACTTGATTAAAGTCTGTTCAGTGCCATATTTTCTACAGATGCTATTTAATAACTGCAAGTGATCAAATAAATTGTTTTCAGCACAGGAGCTCTTCTTGTCCTTGGCCCAAAGGCAAAATTATGTAAAGTATCAGCTTTCAGAGATAGCAATCGACATGAGGAATCTGGAAGTAGAGCTAATGGGAAAAAGTCCCCAAAGAATCCTGTTAAAGTTTCTTATGTACAACAGGAGAGCGAAGAATCCTCAGCAGAATCATCAAAGGTTCAAAATATTGATCCTGTTCCTTACACATCAACAGCAGACGAGAAAACAGCCAAGTTGCTGGCTATTCAAACATTGTTTAAGAACTGGTTAATGTTGTTGCGGACACCGGCACAAAACCAACCAGTGGACGAAATTCTTGAAGAACCTTCTTTGGCAGAAACATCAGAGACGCAGAATACAGTACAAAAGCAAGGAAAAAGTGAGACTTTAAATGCGATTTGGTGCTACTTTCTGGGTCTTGATGTTACAATAAAGTTACCTTTATTGATATTGTAAGTATAATTTTCATTATCCTTTCTCTTTCTCTTTCTCTCTCTCCCTCTGTGTGTACATGCTCATGGGCTGGAGGTGTGCTAGTTGCTTGTCCATAGGTGCTTTTCTTGCTTTGCAGAATCAAAGATCAGAATGTTTCTTAGAAGCGTGAAAGATTTAGTTTTGATGGAGCTTCATTTCATCTTTGGTTCTTTATTCCAATCTGTCCTACTTGTTTGCAAATATTTACGGAGTTTAGATTAAGAATTTTATGTCTATATTACAGGTTGATTTTTTTTTCTTATTGTTTATTAATCTGGATTTTGACGGCTATTTTGTTGTGGATTTAGTAAATTTATTTTCTTTTGCCCTTCACTATGTAATTTAACTTCATCATTTGTTCGAAGATCCATAGGAATATAATTGAAATAATGGAAATTGTTTTTCATATCATTGAAAATATAGTTTTTATCTAAACCATCTTATTATGCATTATGGTGAACATATCTGTCTTCAGTGGCTTCCTCTTCCAAAATTTGATTATAGTTATTTTTAATCTCATCCTTATTTCTAAAATATGTACCTTGTAGATAGCCCAACATGCTCGAATATGATGACGTGTAGAGCTTCTTGAGAAAATATCTCGGGTCGTCTCCCTTCACTAGATAAAGCACTCTAAAAAATTATCCAAATAGATCTAAAAGCAGTTTCTTAGCTTCAGAAATAGCTTTTAGTTGATTGAAAGTCCTGTCAAGTGGGCCCATATACACGCCCACTACAAAATAAGAATTGCTGATGATTCTATCTCTCTCTCTCTCTCTCTCGTATTTGCAGCGTCCCTCTGTACCTAGCAATTAGCCTGGCATATGGAGCAGAGGTTTCAAAAGAATTGACTCCTTTATGGGTTCTTGGACCATTAATCGTTGCTCTCTATGTTAAGATTATTCGGGGCATATTTGGCCTCTATGTATTCAGCTTCAAGCAGACTGTCAAGGTAATCAAGAACCTTCCTAAATACTACCTGGTCGCTTATAATTATCTTGTCTGTGGGAAGCTTAAAGAAGACATATTAGCATATACATGGAGACCTCTGGTAGATATCAAAAACATGGATTACAAAGAGGTAACCAGAAGAAAATTGAAAGATTTGAGAGGCTGGTTAATGGAAAAGTACCTGGACTATGTGGAATCCATATGGCCATATTACTGCAGAATGATCAGGTTTTTGAAGAGAGCAAATCTAATTTAGCTCTTGAGTACTAGAAATTGAGATTTTTCTTCGTGTTACGTTTTTTTAGTGAAAATCTTCAGACAGGAAAGTGATGAACCCCGTTTTGGATCAGGGTTCTTGATCCCTCGAGCATTTAGAGGACACTGAAGAACATGTAGGGGTCATCAAATTTTGTGACAATTCATTTTTTCGAATGAATTCTGAGCATTTCCATCTCCAGTTGCTGTTGTTTATTTGGATTCATGGTGCTCGTTCTATATATCTGATTGTATTATTATCAATGAGCATACACATTTACATGTA